GCAACTTGAAAACCATGCCAGGTGTGTGTGTGTGTGTGTGTGTGCCTAAACTCCCAAGAGGAGAGTGTAGGGGGGTGATTTCTCACGTCTCCCAATCTCTCTCTGGAGAGCACACATACCCTATTGCAAAAACCTAAAAAGCTAAAAGAAAGAAAAAAAAAGAAAGAAGAAAGAAAGAAAGAGAAAGAGAAAGAAGAAAGAAAGAAAGAAAGAAAGAAAGAAAGAAAGAAAGAAAGAAAGAAAGAAAGAAAGAAAGAAGAAAGAAAGAAAGAAAGAAAGAAAGAGAGAAAGAAAAAGAGAAAAAAGAGAGTTCATGTTCTCAGGGGAGTCAGCTGGGCAAGCCCAGGCCTGGATCAACCTCCATATTTCTACAGAGGGTCTTGGGGCTAAAGGGCTTATCTGGGAAGTGGGCTCCAGAGGCTCTGGATGAGGGTTCCTGGGGTATCCCTAGACACAATTCTGGGTTCCCCAGGCCCCCTGGATGAGGACACGCTCAATGTTCCCTGGTGACTGGCCTACCCAGGGTGAGTCTAGAGAGGCCTGGGTCTTTCAGCATCCCCTGCCCTTGCCTGGCGGTGTCCTCTCTCCTCCAGAGCAGGCAGTTTCCCGCACACCTGGAGCCCCGCAGCCTCCCCTTCATGCCCACGCCTCTGTGCCGAGCCTCCACTCCACAGAGCTCTGCCGCCATCTGGAGCTGTCTCTCCTTGCCCCACCCTGGGGTATTTCTGGCTTCAAGAGGGGAAGAAAGACCTGAAACCTGAGCAGAAGCCATCATTGGTGATATGCCGGCACATGGGCATTAATAGAAGCCTCTCTCAGGCCCCTGACACGTCTGGGCAGCTGCTCAGCCCCAGCCAGCGTCCCTCAGCCCCAAGGCCAGCCCACTCTGGCTCAGCCAGGCACACTAAACTTAGCTCCCACCCAGCCCCAGAGCCGCTACCACCAGCCAGCCCACTGCCACCTGCACTGGGGACACTGCTGCTGGACCTGCCCACTCCTCGGCCACCGCCATGTCTCAGACCAAAGCCCTGAAGGTCCGCGTGGCCCTCTTCTGCATCCTGGTGGGCATTGTCCTGGCCCTGGCGGCTGTGGTGACCGACCACTGGGCTGTGCTGACTCCCCACCTGGAGCACCACAATGCCACCTGCGAGGTGGCCCACTTTGGCCTCTGGAGGATTTGCACCAAGCGCATGGCCATGGGTGACAGTACCGACGGGAGCTGCGGACCCATCTCCCTGCCTGGGGGTAATGTACCCACTCTCTATCCTCCTCCCCACTTCCTGCCCTCCCAGGCCCCCTGGAAAAGCTGGGAAGTAAGGCAGGTTTCTCAGCCTCAGAAGGGAGCAGCCACCCAGCCCTTCCTGCCCAGGGAGGAAGATCTGAATTGCATGCGGTGTGCTGGCAGCTGGGCTGGGCTGTTAAATGGTGTTCACCTATTTCTGTCTTGCTGGGCTGGGGGCTCTTTCTCCTGAAGAGGGAGCTGGACAGGTAGGACAAGAGGCTTAAGAAAAAAACAACAGGCTTACCAGACCAGGGGCTTCTGCGCCAGCCATGGTCACTGGTCAGATGTCCTTGCTCCACTCTCTCCCTGCAAAGAGAGGGTGGCTTCCTGTCCCCAGGCTGAAGGGAGCCATGGGGCTGGCAGGTTCATACCTCAGCCTCTAGGCGAGAACATAGAGGAGACTAGCTAATGAATTTGCAGGACCCAGCGCAAAACGAACATGCAGGGTTCGTTGTCTCACAGTGCTAAGAATCCCGAGACAGGTGGGGCATGGGACCCAACACAGGCTTTTCTGGGTAGGGACCTGGAGCTGGACAGGTCACAGGACGTGGTCCTATACAAGCCACCTGCCTTTCTGTCACAATCAGCAGACCTCCTGTACAGCCTCCCTCAACTCAGACCCCATTGGAATTATGCAGCATTGCCTCACATAGTTATTTAAGTGGATTCTTCAGTTTCCCACCGTGCAACTGAAGCATGCATTGCAGGTGGGCTCCTTGTCAACGATACCGGCATTACCATGGCGAGTCTCTGCCCATGGAGTGTACCATGTGGAGAGTTGGAGGTCTGCGCTCTGGTTATGCATCACCCACCACACTCCTAAATGACTATGGGGGGTGGGTGAAGCCCATCTCAGCCTGTTTAAAATATGAACCTCTTAATGTGTGGAGGTTAAGGCAGCTGGATCCCACAAAGCCGTATTCACATTTTGAGTCCCTGGACCCATAGACATGAAAAAACATGCCGGGCATGTATGGGTGGGTGCCCAAAATCCTGAGAGGAGAACGGCCGTCCCTCCCTGGGGGATGCTTTCTCACTTTCTGTCTCCATTTCTCTCCAGTGAACACGTGTGCCCTCTAGCACATTTTTTAGAATTATTTATTTAATTCCATTTGTTATTATTATTATTATTAAATTTGACCAGAGAGAGAGAAAGGGAAAGGAAGAAACAAGCCGCCAGGTCCAAGTCTCAAACCATGGTCAGCCATGTGGGAATCCAATGCCTTTAACCACCGCGTCACCTGCCAGCCCTCCCCCAGCCCAGCACATTTTTTAAAACTACGTGGGGCTCAGGCTCAGGAATGTAAGACCCTTCCTGGTGCTTGTGAACACTTCTCCATGGGGCAGTGGAGCAAACACGTAGCGTCCCACCTGGTCTTCAGCGTTATTCACTCTGCAGACCAAAAGTTCCTTAAAAACTTTCCTTCAAGGGGAACCAGCAGTTAGTGTAATGGCTATGTCGCTGGACTCCCACGTAGTCGACCGCGGTTCACGTCCAGACCCAGTGGCTTAAAACTCACGCCGGGCGCGTGTGCATGCATGCCCAAGATCCCGAGAGGAGAATGGAGGAGAAGGGATTGCGGCGTGACCATCTCCCTGGGGGGGGATTTCTCGCTTTCTGTCTCTATATCTCTCTCTGTCTGTCTGGTGAGCGCATGTGCCCTATAGTGAAAAAAACTCTCTCCAAAAAAAAAAAAAAAACTTTCCTTCAAGGAAGTCAATACTGAGTCTCCAAGTAAGGGACTTGGGGCAAACAGCCCATCCTTCGCCCTCCCCTCCTCTCTGCCTTCTTTCTTCTCCCACCTCCAGATCAGCTCCAGGGGACCCCTGCCTTGCTCACCCCCACTAGGAACCCAGAAGACTCATAAATACTCAGCTGTCTTGGAAACACCAAATCCCAAGGCTGAGGCCTTTGACAGGCGTGGGCATGTGCTCGAAAGGTATCACATAGCCCAGATGCCCACGCCCCTCAGCTAATGCTGAGCATACCCGTAAACAGATGCGTCATCCAACCAGCTCCCCTGGGAGAGGCAGAACAGGGCAGGGCAGGGCAGGGCAGGGCAGGGCGAGGCAGCTTCTCCAGGGACCACGCATGGAGACACAGCGTTACGTGCTGTCTACCTGGTCTTCGAGCCATCTGCCTTTTAAAGTCAGAGCAGATGAGCAGAGTATGAGCAGAGGCCACGCGAAGAAGAGAGAGGCTGGCGGGAGGAGGCTGCACCAGCTGGTTTGGCCTTGAGCCTAAGCAAAGTCCAGCTCTGCCTTCTCACCCTCGTCCAGCTATGAATCCTACTTCCTAAACTCGTGACATCGAACACGACCTATCCCCCCAAAATCTTCCAGAGCACCTTTCCGTCTTTTCTCTGCAAATGTGCACTGTTTCTTTCTGTGCTCCCCAGCATTGCTTTTTTCTGGAGGGAGGAGGAGGCGTCATTCCTTATTTTCTTATTTATTTATTATTAACAATAATACCGATAACAATACTAATGGCACACAAGCATAGCACCATGTGCCAAACGTGGTTGTAAGCACTTGACATATGTTAACTTTGGATGACATTAGGGGAAAAAAAAAGAAAAAGACAAGCGAGAACCTTTAAAAATCTTCCCCATCAAAGCATTAAAAATAACTGACAAACGTTAGCAAAACCAATATTTTTCAGAACTCTGGAAATTAATCAAAATCTTGCAGCAATCCAAAAAGTGCTTATTTTAGAAAAATGAGTGACTCTCAGGAGAAACAGTGAACTCTGTGCTGGTTTAAGTTGCCCTACTCCTGTTGTCCCATCTCCAGTTCTGCTGTGGCCTTGAAAACCAACATCTCACAATCCTAATGAAAACTGACAGCTGGGTGGCCACTGAAGGGGACTGAAGGGACTTAGATCTCTTTCAAAGCCCCATTCCTGGACAACTGTCACTATGTGGCCTGTCTGGTAGTTCCCTGGAAGTTGCAAGACTGTCTTTGTTTGACTTGACTCTAAGCTCACCAGGGCAAACAATCCTTCTCTCATGGGACATTTGTCGAAAACAATTAAAGACAATTGTTTAACAATGTGGCTGCCTGAGGCAGCAGGTAACTATTGGCTAACCAAACAACAGGCTAACCAAAAGAGCTGGAGAATTACATGTCCATGGGTAGTTTTGAAAAACTTTAATATATTCCTGGAAATCTAGGAGACCATACACATGTTCAATGCTGTGTGCATGCTCAGGAAAGATCTGAAAAGGCACTGACTTCTCACCTCTGCCTTATCTTGAGACTCTGTGCAAGCAGAAAGTGAAGGCTGAGACACAGGTGTAGACTGCCTATCTGAGTGTTAAAATCACATCCGACTTGTGCACAGAGCCTCTCGGCAAAGACTGGGAGTTGGGTCAAAGCACTTCAGGAAATCAGTTATCACTCCACTAAGCTAATTGAACAGAGATTTCAGTGTTCACACATGACAAAGAATGACGCTTTACAAAATTAGTTCAGAAAAGTGACTACAGACAACAATAAACAGTAACAGACCACCAAAAAGGGAGAGAATCTGATTCCCAGAGTTGCCATATTAGGTTGTTGGGAAAGTCATGACGTATTTTTCTATGTTTTTCTTTGCAAAAATGTGTCATGACCTTCCCAATGACCCAATGAAAAATATAAGACACGCAAAAAATTAAAATTATGAGGTCTATGTATAAGGGAGAGAAAGTAGTCAATAAATTCCTAAAGGTGTCCAAATACTGAATATACTAGACAGAGACTTTCAATCAGCTATTTTAAGCACATCCAAAAACCTAAAAGAAGCCATGTATGAGACCAGAATGTGGCGTCATGGTTACGTCACTGGACTCCTATGTGGTTGACCGCAGTCCAAGTCCTGGACCAACGACTTGAAACTGCCAGGGGTGTGTGTGTGTGCGCCCAAGATCCCAAGAGGAGAATGAAAGAGAAGGGATCGCAGCATGGCCATCCCTGCGAGAAGTGATTTTTCACTTTCTATCTCTGCTGAGCGCAGGTACCCTATAGCAGAAATATCTCTTAAGAAAAACAAAAAAGAAGGCATATGTAAACAACTAAAAATGAAAATTATATCCTATGAAATAGAAAATATTAATTTTAAAGATGTAAAAATATTTAAAGGATAAATAGAAATTCTGGAGTTGAAAATTATAATAACTGAAATGCAAAAAAAATCATTAAGGGGCTCAATAGCAGATTTAAATAATTAAAAGAATCAGTGAACTTGAAGATCAAGGTCAGTTGAGATTACCCAGCCTGAGAAACAGACAGAAAAAGAACAAAGAACACTAAGCAGAGCCTGAGAGACTTGTGTGACACCATCAAGCATACCAACATACGCATAATGAGAATCCCAGAAGGAAGAGAGAAAAGAATAGAAAGAATAATAGCCATACACCTCCCAAATTGGATGAAAAATACTGATGCACAAATCCATGAAGCTCAATAAATCCTGACTAGAATAAACTCAGAGAGATCCTTACCTAGACATATCATAATCAAACTATTGAAAGACACAGAGAATCTTATAAGCAGAAAGGGATCATTACAAGGGATCCTTAATAAAATAAACAGCCGATTTTTCCCAGAAGCCACAAGATTGTATATATCTAATCCTCACAAAGACTTTCATGAGGCTGATACTGTTATCAGATAAAGAAAATTTGGCACAGAGAGGTTGAGTAATTTGAGTAACCACATAGTTAATGAGATTAACCAGCAGTAACACCCAGGCTTTTGCCCCTAATATTCACCTTCTTAGTCACTACATCGTAATACTTTACAACAACCCAGAGAGTAGATTCTCGTTCTACAAATGGTGCTCTTTCTACACAGACTGAGCACGTCTTTTCCCAGGCAGACCACCTAACAAAGGCTCAACCCCCAAATCCTGCGTCCAGAGTCTGCTTGCTCTTCAGTCCCCTTCCACATCCTGTACTACACATACAAGCACAGCTTCTAA